CCGGCCCCGGCCCGCGCCCCCAGTCCGCGCGCGGCCGGCAAGCGGCTCAAAGGCCCCCCGGAAACTTTCAGAAGGGTTTTGGGGGTGGGGGGGGACTCGTAAGGGGAGGGGGAGTTTGGGGACGCGGAAACTTCTGCTCAAGTGACTTTCCCCATTTTCTCCTCTGCCTGGAACTGGGGCTCCCCTTGCTCCCCCCTTTCCCCTCGCCGCCGCTGGCTGTGAGATACTGACCCCTCCGCCTAGAAGAGAGAGAGAGGGTAATTTGTAACCTTTTTTTTTTTTTTTAAATCAAAGTTAGCTAATGCTTACAGTGTATCAAACTTGCCAGAGCCTAGGGCCTCTGAGACCTGCCATTTTGTGTTTTCACCGGCCTCCTGCGCCCCGGGAGCCCGGCGAGGCCGAGGCCGGGGCCGAGGTGCCAGGGTCTGAACCCGCGACCCCGAGAAAGGGCCATGGCTCCTGCAAGTGTAGGCGGCGCCGGTAGCACCTGCCCCAGATCGCCGCGGCCCTGGGGGCAAGCGGGGGCCAGAGACAAAAATAAATAAATAAATAAGTAACAGGTTATGGAGGGAACTGAGCCGGCCAGTCCCGGGCTGGAGAAATGAGGCCAATCAGAGTGAGGAAGTATGGGCGTGGGGGGCTCTGGAAGGTGGGGGAGAGGGAGGGGTGGGGGGGCGTCTGGGAACAGGGCAATTTAGGGGAAAGCACCCCCCAGCCCAGACATAGGACTGGGGCGAGAATGATCGCTGCTAATAAGCCTTTCTGTTTGCTTTAAGACATTATTATTATTATTATTTTTTTTTTTTGGAAAATGAATTAAGGAAAACAGTCGTAGGCGGAACTCGGGATGTATTTTAGGCAAAAATAAAATAAAATAAAATAAGGGGGGGCTTTTCTTTGATGAGTAGGAAAGTGTCCAGATTTCGACGCGCCCATCTGTTGCAGTTTTGCAAATAATTTAAAATATAGATATCTCTGTATAGATGGACGTATGCGAAGTGAGAGAAGGTAGAAACGCAGGCGCGGGGAAGTTGGGGGGGGTGGGGAGAAAAGGGGGTTGGGGGAGAGAGGGAGAGAGCGCGAGAGAGTGAGAGAACGCTTTGTGTCCCCTCTCCTTAAATCTTCTCTGGAAACTCCTGCAGGGCTTTCTTTGGGGACAGGTGGAAAGTTAAGGTTCCCCCCCCCCTTCCCCTTTTCACTCTTGTATTGTGAGTCGTCCTTACTGTAGCCTTTCGGCGAGCATATACACAATCTCTTGAGTTAGGTGGAGAACTGAATTGATGGGAGCTTGGAGGGTTGGGGTTTGCGGGGGCAGTAGTAAGAGGTCGGGGGCTACCGAGGAGCAGGGCGGGGTCCCAACCCCGCGCGCCAGTTGCAGCGGTGGCCGGGTTTTGTTTGCCGGATATTGTTATGTCTAACGGGTGCCTTGCAGGAGACGTGATTTGTCAGCCGCCTTAGTTTTCACTTTAGCAGAAAATACGGCGGCTGCGCGCTGTGCTGGCCTGCTGGGCTCGGGCGCCCGGTGCGTCTGGGG